GCGTTTTATCCGGGCTGACATGGCTCTGTTTTAGACAAATACACCGCAGTGAGCTGATCCGGAAGTAAACCCGTACGGAGACGGAAAGATTCTGGCGTTTCCGCTTTTAAATCCACAATTAAATAACCGTACGGTTCTGACGTAGCGTCTTGAAAACTCTCCATGAAATATCTTTTTTGGGTAGGATATATTTGATTTGCTAAAACATTGATTTGCAATTTGTCTCGAGGGTTTTTAAACAAAATCAAATAATTGGTGTTTAAGCTGGATGGAACGACTATGTTTTCCTTGATGAAAAAAATTTTGAGTGATTAAAATGACGCTCATATTTCTGTGATGTCTCAGCTGGGTAAATAATTTTAGCACTCCAGGATGGCTGGACGTTTGAGACATCATGTCATCCAAGATCACCAAGTGGTTTTGACCCGATGGAAATAAATCATCATCCTCGAATGAAAGCGGGAGACCTTGAACGAATCTAATACTTTTATTACAAAGATCATCATACATAGGTTGATAAGATGTAAAAAACCACACGATGTTTTTTGGCATTTCAGTTAAACATTGCATACAATTTTCCAAAATACTTTTTACAAAAAAGGTTTTTCCACAGCCTGACGGACCAGCTATTTGTACACTGAATGGAGATTTCAGTCTAGCGTCAAAATCAGTTTCCATTTTTAATACCCAAATGGTTCTGTACTGCCGTCAGCAAATAACCTCCGCTTATCAAAAATCACACGAAACCTTTTCACAAATGAAACATTCGAGAGAGTGAGGCCTTTTTTATCCCTCTTGACGATCTCCTGCCGAGTTTGCAAAAATCTTCCCCTTTCTCCAGCCACGTACCCCTCAACCAGCAGCGCTAAGCTGTCAAAATTGATGTGATCAGATGAAATGAATGACTGTGTGATACCCTTAGCCTTTAGCACCACCTGCTGGCGGTCCCGGATTTTGTAAGCATACGTTTTTGGACCGGATGAAGCAAATTCCGTGATGGAATCGCCGTGCAGTTCATCGGTTAAATCCCCCAGCAGCGGTCCTGTTGGTAAAACACACTCATTCTCTTTGACAGAATAAATTATAGAATCTGTATCGTAATAAATGACGCGATTTCCCAGTTTGTTCAACGCATTTAATAATTTCAGTCTGGCATAAGTTGTGGTGAAAGCGGCTATAAATATGTTGTTGCTTCTGCCAGGAGTCGTTAGGCATTTTTCTGTCAAACTGTGCTGCACCAGAACGGCTCCTGAAGTGACAAAGCTGAAGAATTTAACTTTGTGTTTCCCTGAAAACAGAATGTCAAAAAATTCATCAGGTTTTTGAACAAATGTGGTTTGTACAAGATCATCTCTTTGGCCAAACTTTCCCCAGAGTGAATTGAGACATAATTTTGAAATGGCACGCTTAGCAGGATTGTGCTGAATCTTAGACTCATCTAATTGTATTCCCTGATGAAGTTGGTAGTCCTGAATGTATTTTCTTTTCGACTCATCGTCAATCAATCCTTCAGGAAAACCAGACGCTTGTTGTTTCTGCTTCAAAAACGTGTTAATGTAACCTGCAAACACATCTTTACTGCTTTTCTCAAAATCCCAGACTTCAATCATTTTCACCAGACGGTAACCTGACTCCAAAGCGTAATTGAACTCTACACTCACCCAAACGCCCGTCAAAGCACGTTGAGACGCGCTGTGTGAACAAGATTCAGATTGATTATTCATTTCAGCGCATGTGCGACATAGTGTAAAAACAAGTTTACCTTTGGATGTTTTAAAAGGCAGAACAGGGAAAAACAGTTTTCTGGGTGGCAAAACGACAGCTTTAATCAAGCCAAAATAGTGACTTGGATCTCTGAAATTTTTAACATGAATTTTGGGATGGCCTATGGGATAAGCCTGTGTGGCATTTACATAAGGGTACAGACTCGTAAAATCCACATAGTGGATTTTTTCACCGCTCTGAGCCGAATGCCTCAGCCGAACCGGACAAGTTCTGCCTCCATACAGGGCTTCACGAGGTAAAAGAGGAGCTGGCGGTGGGTCAAATCTTGAGACAAACTGTTTCACGTCCGGATCAGTTTTTACCATCTCCTGCCAATCATGTTCCCAAATGACATTCATTTTTAATCGATGCACAGTTTCCAACGACTGAAGCTTTTCGACGGTTTTGTCATAAATTTCACCAAAAGTGATTTTTCTCAGAGGACATATGGATGACTGTAAGAAACATTTTGGACAGCCGTGGAAAAAACAACCCATATACTCAAACCCTTGTTCGACGCCTGAAATCACAGCATATCCGTCGAGATAAAAATCTCCCACTTTATACTCCCCCAAAGGCGTTAAAGCGTGTTGAATGTCTACATTTTGACTGCGTGAAACCCATTCCAGCCACACGATGCTTGAACTTGAAAATGGTTTTTGTTGCGGTCGATAGCCGAGCGGACAAGGAATGGCCAATGTGTCTGGTTTTAGGAATTTTGATCTAAACACGCGCATGCAAGCTGAAGCGATCGTGACAGATTTCAGCGGGTCGATACCTGTTTCATTAAAAAACTCCTCTCTGAAAATACCGCATGCTTTACGCAGAATTTCCACATCGTTTCTACAATAAAACACGGCCTCCTTTCTGAAATCAAACAGCTGCTGTTTAGACACATCGGTGTACCATTCTAAAAATATTTTTTTATGCTCCGGAGACATTTGTTCAATCCCATAATGGCTGACATCTGGATAAGGCCCTTTATAATTCAGATGTTCAAGCGATGAAAATCTGTGAGGAAAATAACCTTTAGTTTTATCTGTAAAGCCCAAAGCAGCTGGAAGGTTGGCTAATTTCATCATGAGAAAACTTAAGGAATCTATGAATCTCAACCCGAAATCTGGATCGTGAAAACTCAGGATTTTACAGCCGTAGTATATTTTTGGGAACAATTTTTAATTGACACATAGCTCTCAAAATTATATAAGCATCAAATCCGCGCGCATTGTGTGCAACAAATGTATAATTGCTGAATTTAGGACGACGCATCTGCATAATAAAATCTTTAATGCAATCTAAACCAAATTTCTCCCAAACGTCGCCTGAATCGGATTTTGCACAGATTAAAAAAGGTGTATGCACACCGTTCTGATCCGTAAACGTTTCAGTGTCGTAATAAATAACCTTTTCCGTTAAACCGTCATCTTTTTTTTCAAGCTGAATAAAACAGCGATGATCATCCGTGACCACCGACTGTTTGCAAACGATGCATTTGGTCGCTGAGCAAACGTGCTGTGAACCATTTCCACCCATGGCGATGTAATAAGTTTGTTTACAAATGGTGCATTTTTTAAACATTTCGCAAGGAGAAACTAACCTGTTTGCTTGAGGCCTTAAAACAGGTGTTTTGTGAGTTTGAAAACATATTACATTTTGGCATATTCGATTACAATCAGAACATGTGATGAGAGACGTTTCTGTTCGTTTGCATAAATCGGTATTACACACGCGACAGAACCATTTACAATGATGTCCGTTCATGTTATTATAAGCGGAAAAGCACCATGAACAAAAATATTTGGCTCCTAAGAAACCTTTAATATTTTTTATGCCGTAATAATGTTGATTCAGTAGCAAAATGAACAACGGATTTGACCGATCGCTAAAATCTGTTTCAAATTTAGAAATGATTCTGTCGGATCTGTAAAAAATGATTATTTTTCTTTGAACAATATTTTCAAATCGAATCACGTTGCTAAATGAAACGGTTGATTGCTCCTGAAGCCCTGCCTGTTGATGAATATTTTTAGCCACATTCAATAATTCTGTATCTCTCGCTGAGGGATTTAACAGTCCGGCTATGCTTAGCGCAAAACACAACGGCTGATTGGCCTCTGGAGGGCAAATGAGATGGTTTCGTTTTTTATTGACTAATTCGTGATCCAGAATGGTTTCGATTTTTCGTTTCCCACCGCCGGAAGGATTATTTATCACTTGCAGTCTAAAATTAAATTCGTTGTCGGCCTCTAATGCTTCATTTGATTGGATTAACAGATCCAGTAAATACTGAAGCTGATTTAACATATTTGATCCGTCATAATTAAAATTAACGTGGTGCGTCGTGTGCAAAGTATTAATTTCAAACTGGACTCTATCGTTGGGACGCGCGATCTGGCTTCCTCTTTCAGCAAACCTGTTTAATATTTCCATCAGATTAATATAAAACTCGGCTGGGTCGTTGATTGCTTGAAAAGACACTCTCTCTCTAATTTCACGCTGGTTAAAAGCTGCGTTTACGCTCCCTCCGATCTGCCGGTGTTCTATTTGTCTCAAAATTTCATCTACAGCTTGTGGAGAAGGGTCATCTGAATTTGCCAGTATTTGATCGATCTCGTTTACGCTCTGCTGGTGTTCTATTTGTCTGAAAATTTCGTTTATTGCTTCTGATGAAGGCTCATCTGAATTTGCTAGAATTTGATCGACCTCGTTTGAAACGGCTTGGGATGCTAAAATATCGTCTAAGATCTCACTATCTGAAGCTAATTCATCTACTTCACTCAGTCCGCTTAAATCAAACCAGTCATTTAATAGAATTTCTTCGGCCTCCTCCACTGAGGGATTTTGGCTGGCTAAAATTCGATCTAACAAATCTACGTTTAATTCATCATCTACTTCAAACAAATCTGAAAGGTCATCAAACCAATTTTCACTCATGATACAAAAGACATTAAAAACCTACTAAAAATGAAGAAAAAAAATCTGCGTCCTCCTTTTACAGAGCCAGAACTTGCTGGATCACTTCCACCAGGCCGGAATTCACTTGCAGGAGCAGGTAGCCAAGCTTCATCCTGTTTGATCTCTGAAGTCGCGTAAATCTGCCCCGCTTCTTCTTCTTTAACCGTTTTTCTGATGAAAAAATAAATAAAAAATAAATAAAATGAACGAGCTTTTAATAAATTATATATATAAATTTAACTTACTCTGTACAGGTGCAGGAGTTGGTGCGTTCTCTTCGTCGGTCGTGGGTTGTTCTGAAAGGATAAAAAACATATTTTTTTACTTCAAAATTTAATATACTCTGCGGAGCGGTTTTGTGAAACAGCTTACCGGCTGGCTGCTCAGGAGCACGTTCAGCGGTTTCAGAGTCGCTGTTGGATTGTTCTGAAAGAATAAAAACAAGGAAAAATATGAACGAATCATCTTTGAAGTAAATAACCACCTTTTTATATATCTCTTACCCTGTGCAGGAGAAGGGGGAGGAGGAGGAGGAGGAGGAGGTGTGGGCGGAGATATTGAAGCGGCTGTCTGATGTTGTTCTGAAAGGATAAAAAACAACGGTAAATGTGAACGAGACATCTTTGACTTATTAATCAGTTGTTTTTTTATCGTTACCATCCGTCTGCGCATGAGAAGGGGTTGGAGGTGGTGGGGGCTGAGATATTGGGGGTGCGTAGGCCGTGGGCCGTTGCTCTGGAGAATAAAAACGATAAATATGAACGACACATCTCTGACTTATTAATCGCTATTTTGTAATCACTTACCAGCTTCGAGGATCGTCTGTGGCGTGATGGTCCTGTAACGAACAGCTTTCACGTTCGCATTCGCGTGTGATCTGACGGTATGGCTGGGCTGATACGAATGTAAGACGGTTCGGCTGGTGGATGGAGGCGTGGTTGGGTAAAAGTTATCACTTCCGGGGTAAGGTTGAACCCCCTCCTTTTCTGTAAAATGAGATATTTCTCAGCTGAAGAAAAGAACGTTACGTATATATTTATAAAATCCACTCACTCAGATTCTCGACCGCACGATTAATTTTAGACAAATCATCGAGAGGGACCGGAGTTTTACAAGTTAATTCCTCAATAGGAATTTCTTCCCACTCGCCGTCCGATATGACAATAGCGTCTGAAAATAAAGATGTTAAACCAGAAAGAGAAAAAAAGATTTGCGTCTTAAGTTAAAAACTTACCCGTCATCTTAGCTTGTTACACCTCAAATCACGACTCCGAAAATGCGGTTTTACATTTTATACAGCTGTTTAAAAAAATCTTGAATAGAAAACGGTTGCGATTGGTCGAAAAAAAAATGTTTATAAACAATACAGAGTCATTTGCTTTGTTGTATAGGTAGACAAATGTCTGAATGGGTGTTTAGAGTTGTGTGTGTGTGTGTGTGTGTGTGTGTGTGTGTGTGTGTGTGTGTGTGTGTGTGTGTGTGTAACTCGTATCCATTGCTTCATCAAAACTCCCCGGAGCAGAAATAAAAAAACCTTTACGATCCAAAAAATAATACCGGACCGGTTTTGTACCGGACATTTCTTCCTGAAATCGCTTATGAAAAATCTGTTGCGTTGTCAAGCCAATCTCATCATGTCTCAATGAGGCAGGAAGCAATGTGTGTGTGTGTGTGTGTGTGCGTGTGCGCGTGCATGTGCGTGCGTGCGTGTGTGTGTGTGTGTGACAGTGAAAACAAAAAGTCACAAAATGTGACACTAAAGGCAGGAGGCGATGGTTAAGCTTTCACTGCTGATGATGACGAACCAAAGATGCTGTTCACCTAAATAGCTCTTTGAAACAATAGCAAGTCATTTGCTTTTGTGAATTGTTTCCATGCCGACTTGGTTAAAATGAGCTCTAAGATAGATGAACCAGATCTTTGCTCACCAACTTTCCCGCCACTCTTTCAATTCAGCCCACCTGCAAAAAAGTAAGTAATTTGCTTTTGCGTGTTGTTTCCGTGACGACTTGGTTCAGCCAGTTCTTTGTTTTAAAACTTTCCCGCCACCTGCAAAAAAAAGGAAGTCAATTGCTTTGTCAGAAGTCGCTGGTCGTGCAAAATTGTTTAGAATGAGCTTTAAGAAAGCTCAACAGATCTTTGTTGACCAACTTCCAGGCACTCTTTCAAACAAATCCACCTGCAGAACAATACAGAGTCATTTGCTTTGTGAGTTGTCGATTAAAAGCGTCACGCTGAGGTAAGGATCAACTTTTATTCTTATAGGCTTGAGTATGCAGGGTGGTTTACAACAGAACCATAAATGGTTTAGGATGGCAAACCATTGCTTTTCTGAAGTGAGAGAAATGTTTGAATGGTTTAGTCAAAGACAAATGTTTGAATGTAATCCTTTTTACTTCTTAGAGAAGTGTGTGTGTGTGTGTGTGTGTGTGTGTGTGTGTGTGTGTGTGTGTGTGTGCGTGTGTGTGTGTGTGTGTGTGTGTGTGTGTGCTTACAGCCATTAATTTGATGTGCTGCTGGACAGAGAGTTTTACACAATAGTTTTAGTTCTTGTCAAAAAGTGTCAGTGAGCTGCATGTAAATATTTACACATTTAAACACAAAGTTTAAGACTGAACATACGAAATCCAACGTGAACATCTGCCAGATGGCTGAGTAAATCAAAGAGAGTATTAATGACATAGACAATGTGTCACTCTGAAGAGTTTGTGTGTGTGTGTGTGTGTGTGTGTGTGTGTGTGTGTGTGTGTGTGTGTGTGTGTGTGTGTGTGTGTGTGTGTGTGTGTTACAGCCTCTGATGATTCACCCTGATGTGCTGCTGGACAGAGAGTTTTACACAATAGTTTTAGTTCTGGTAAAAAGTGTCAGTGAGCTGCATGTAAATATTTACACATTTAAACACAAAGTTTAAGACTGAACATACAAAATCCAAATATCTAATATTTGGGAGAAAAGCACTTTGTGAACATCTGCCAGATGGCTGAGTCTCGAGAGCAAGCAAGCAGACCCACCCCATTCTACAGTCAGATTCTTTAACTTTGAGGAGACCTGTAACCATTTCATAAGTACTTGACCAGCGTGTGGGGCTGTCATTCACAGCAGTAAGGCCGCACTCATCCACTGTCAGTGAGCCATGTCATGTTAGATATAAAAAGTCCATGAGTTTAGACTGATATGGTGTGCCAGTAAGGGCTGGTAAATGCATTATAATGGCTGCAGCGTCAGACTGATGTGGTTCTGCTCACTGGTGAGGCTGGCCTTCTTTTTCTTGCTTCTCTGCATTTGCAGTACAATTTAGATGACAAAACTTTCTGTGTGTTGAATTTAGGTGATGAACATATCTGAGAGGTTTGTGACAGCGGCGTATGGGAGGGGGCTGTGTGAACCGCTGGAGTAACACAATAAGAAACTTCATGCGCCATTACACACATTAGCCTATGACGTGGGGATCATGGACATCTGGACGCTCAACAATACGCCATTGATGATGCGGCGTGGGGGGTCTAGGCCATCTGGATGATCAACAATACACATGTCCATTTGATTAATGATACGGAAGGGGGGGCAAAGATTGAACAATACACCTGTCCATTTGATTAATGATAGGAAAGGGGGGCAAGGTCAAGGGTCAAAATGAACAATAGGACTGAAAGGTCAAAAAGGTCAAAGAACAATAGACCTGTCAAAATGTTTGACGAAAGGTATCTTATAATCCTCTCTAACAGCTTCACCCTTCACCTCTAATCTTAATAAAAACGCTTCTTTGCTCCGTTGTCCTTAAAACAAATGACACGTTTATTTCGCCACACACACACACACACACACACACACACACACACACACACACACACACACACACACACACACACACACACACACACACACACACACGGGGGAATAACTGGGACCTGCGAAACAAACTTGTTCTGGCTGATTTCTGCCTAAAATGTAATTTAAAGAACAAATATACAAATGAAAAATGTCTATAAACTGACCCGCTTTAAGCTTTTAAGGTTTCTATGGCTTGCTCTTAACAAACTTACGTTTAAAACTTCGTAGCTCTCCCCATTTTCTCTGCCTGTTGAAAATCCACAGCCGGCGCGCAAAGCATGCTGGGATAGCCTTGTTCCGTGGGGATACAACAGACCCGTCCTCGAAATGTGGGCGGAGCGAGGACGCGTTTGAGGACGTGAGAATGAGTATTCTTGGAATTCGGACGGTACTCGTCGCTGCGCTGTGACATCATCGCACTCTTACAAGCATCCTTCCCGTGGATTCGGACACACCCATAGTTAAGAGCCATTATCGACTATGTATCGACTATTGCAATTCACTTCTTTATTGTCTCCCCAACAAACTCCTTCATAAACTGCAAATGGTCCAGAATTCAGCAGCCCGTATTATCACCAGAACCCCTTCCTTTCACCACATCACCCCGGTTCTCCAGCAGCTTCACTGGCTCCCAGTTAAATTCAGGTCCATCTTCAAAATTCTCCTCCATACCTTCAAAGCTATCCACAACCTCTCTCCTCCATATATATCAGACCTTATAAGTATTCACACCCCATCCCGTTCACTCAGATCATCTTCTTCCATCCATCTTGCGGTTCCTTCTGCCCGTCTCGCTACCATGGGGAGCAGAGCTTTCAGCCGCTCTCCTCCCCGTCTCTGGAACTCACTTCCCCCAGACATCAGGAACATCGACAGTTTTACCCTTTTCCAATCAAAACTCAAAACACACATGTTTAAATCTGCCTACAACCTCTGATTTTATTGAACTCAGGGTGTCCGCGGGGTTTTAAAAAGTATTAAAAAGTGATAAATAAAAATAGTCAAATTTAAGGCCATTAAAAGTGTTAAATTTGGTCTCAGAGGTATTATTTTTTCCAAATTAGGTATTATTTTTTTCAGACTATCAGATGTCGTATTCTGAACATCGACATAGAAATATATTCCGAATGAAATGTTTTGAACGATTATAAAAATAAAACAAGCCGATTATTTGCTCCTCCCACTTGCGCTGCCCTGAGTTGCAAATGAAGCGCTCCTCTGCAGTGTTGCCAACTTAGCGACTTTGATGCTATTTCTAACAGCTTCTCAGACCCCCTTTTTGACTTTTTAAATCTAAAAGTACCTAGCGAACACCTCAGAAACATCTCTGGTAACCCTTAGCTACTTTCTGGATAACTATCGTCGACATTTCCTGCAGGTTAGCTAAACACTCCGCCTGCGCTCCGGACCGTTCTTCAGGACATTAGGAAAGGGAATGATGTAGTGATGTGTCAGTCGCTAAAGAAACAGCTCTCGGAGCCGGCTCCATGTTGGAGTAACCAGAGTGAGTGACACACACACCGTACCTGCGGACTCCTGAGCCGATAAAAACGGCTAAATGTGCGCGTGCGGCGTGCTAAACACACGTGCAGCTTGCCCCTGATTGCTGAGACCGGGTTGGGGGGTGGGGGGTGCAGCTGTGGTTGGGACAATTATTACATTAACTGATGGACTTGTAAATAAATAGTTTATAAATAAGGTAGAAATATCTTCCTCACGCTGATAACTAATAACTAACCTCTCTGAGGACACGGTGCTAGTGCACTCTCCTACAGCACCTTGACACGACTCAATAAATGTTATGCAGCATTTAGTGAACAGCAATTTATTTGGGTTTATTTGTTATAAATGCCACTGTATAATTCTTGCTGTCAGTATTTGCAAGATATTGGTATTTGGGTCTGTACTGGTTAGACTTACATGAGTTAAACCAAGGTCTGTAGCCCTTGGGTCATAAACTATGAGCTATAAGTATATTGGTCTTTTTATACTGGGAATCAGGAGTTCTTTTAGTGATCATCTTGTTTCTTGTTTATTTTTGCCCTGATTGTGCCCTGAGCAGTTTTATGACTGAATAAAAATAAATTAAAAAAATCTACATAAATTGAAAAATCGTCTTAAATAATCGAGATCTCAATTTCAGTCACAATAATCGTGATTATTGTTTTTGCCATAATCGAGCAGCCCTACTTTAGCATATCCGGTCAAATAATGATGACGTCATATTCAGTGGTCGTTGTGCATCATTTCAGGCCTCGTGGTCAACTGTCTGAACCGCTGAACAGAAGTGCCTGGCTTATTTTCTAAGTAAAATAAATATGTGCAATACGTTGTCAACATCAGTGAGTCTCTAAGTCTATTCTTTTTGTATGTTATATATGTTAAAATACGTGTAAATAGGTCGCTGATTAACACTTGCAATTTAGTGTTGTGATGGTTTTAAAAAAATTCTGAAGGTAGTAAAAAAAGTATTAAAAAGTAGTAAATTTTACTTAACGATTGCTGTATATACCCTGGAACTGTTTCTCTCTTTGTTTTTTCTTGTTTGGGTTTTATTATTGTTTTATTGTATTTTATTACGTGTTTTCTGTAAAGTGACCTTGGGTGTCCTGAATGGCGCTTTGAAATAAAATGTATTATTATTATTATTATTATTATTATTATTATTAAAAATAATGTTTAAGCGCTAGTTTAATCAGATGTGATCTCCTTCTTTTTGGTTTAATGGCGGATGGCATAAACTTAAGTTACTGAGGATGGCGGAAATCATGAGGGATTTTTTGCTCCCACAAGTCCAGCGAGGAGCACGGCAGAGAAGCCGCACCACGGCTGAGATCCTCCTGGTGTGTACTGGACCACAGAGAAAGTTGCGAGTAAACTGTTCCACTGCCGTTCTGCTCAGCTGATGCTTCCGGTGTGAAGTAGGGGTTAGACCCAGATGAGCAGAAGACAGCGTTTAAAAATCAATAAATGTACAAATGATTTTTTACCTTAAAACCACACACACCCTGATATTTTTTGTGCACCTGACCCATGGTCACCAACTCCTGTCCTTGACAATTATCCTGGATATTGTAGACGTTTCCCTGCTTCAAGTCTTTCCTAGACATTCTGTTGTGTTCATGGGCAAGACACTTCAACCCCATTTCTGCCTCACCTTCAAGTAAGTTGCTTTGGATAACAGCATCACATATATTATCAGAAGCACACATTGTTGCAGATGATTCATATTGAACACTTCTTATTTTTTACTATATCAAGCTCATGTTCTCAAAACACATCTTTTTCTAAGGCCACTGTGATCATGAAGGGCTTTGAATAGTTGGGAATCTCACACTCACAAATGAAACCTTTTCTGTCAAGTCAAAAGCAGAGTACATTGAAAAAAAAAGTTCTATTTTTCTTCAACAAATCTTTATTGGACTTCCGTGATCCAAACCAGGGAAATTGCCCTCAGCAGTCTTGCTGCTCTCTAGTGGAGACAAATGAGGTCTGTTGCTGATCCAGATTGGCTTTGTGTTGTGATCCGGGCCATTATAGGCAGCTGCTGGCAGCCTCACTTAACTGGTATCAAGAAACTGATAAGATCATCTGCTAAATACTGTGAAATCCTCTCAGTCACTGCCTTCAGTACAAACCCATTAACACATTCTTTATGTTCTTTTCCCCTCTCTTTTCGTCTCTCCAGGGTCTAATCAGTTCATTGGGCGAATGCAGGACTTTAGATTTTATCCCGCCACTTTGACCAACAGGTGAGTTGGACCAACAGTGAGGTGGATAATGAGCAGCTACTGGGAGAGAAGGACAGGGGAAATGTGAAAGGATGAAAGGAATCAAGTGTTTAAGAAACCATTGGGGACAAAAAGATGGGAAAATAATATATGAAGAAAAAAAAAGTCTACTGATTTCTCAAAAATTAAAAAGGAGGAAATAAAGAGAAACGGATATCTTTATAGATTTGTCAACAAAAGACAAGGAGTGGTTCAGAGTAATTAAAGGAAAGCTGCTTGAAGGAAAGCAGTAGGAAGATAATCGTTGCTTCTTAGGATCCATACTACTTCCGGAGGATTTTCCAAACTATTCAGGGCGGCAGCATTAGTGTTCATCTAACCGTTGATGTACTGCACAGTAACGACTTTAAGCTTACAAGAGCTTGAATCAAGATTAGCTAAATGCAAAGGCATTAATTGTTCACTCAAATGCTCCATCAGGCCATTAAAGGTTTTATCCAGCAATTTAAATCTTGTTTGAAAAGTAATTTTTTTGTTTTCCAACATCTAAAATTATATTGAAGGTTTGATGTTGATCCTGTGACCTAAAAACTCAGAAGAAATCAGCAAAATTACCTTTTTTCACTTGCTAAATACTGCTAAATGTATTTTGACTTCACATTAATGTGACATTAGTATTTGATTAATTGTTTATTGTGTGAATAGGGAAATTGTGGAGTTGTTCTCAGGAGTCCTGCCTCAACTCCATGTCCAGTCTGAGTGTCGCTGTCCTCCGACTCACCCGAGAGTACACCCTTTGGTTGACAGGTGAAGCATCACAATCAAACACAAAAGCAGTAAAACATCCATAAATGTTCAAAGTAAAAGTCGCATGCAGATTTCCTGTTGCTTAAAGGGACTTTTCGGACTTTTGAATTTTTATGCTCGCGATTGCCCCCTCAGGCCAAAAGCGTAACGGCAGCTTCAATAGTAGGCTCGTGCACAAGGCGCGCATGCTGTACGTGCACACTCCTTAACAAAAATAACAGCTGAGACAGTCCCGTGTGTGTGTGTGTGTGTGTGTGTGTGTGTGTGTGTGTGTGTGTGTGTGTGTGTGTGTGTGTGTGTGTGTGTGTGTGTGTGTGTGTGTGTGTGTGGCCCGGAGGACAGAAGAACACAGCAAATTAATAAAAATAATGTCCCTCTGTCTCTGCAGCTGCACTTTCTCGTCGGCTGGCCGAACGTGCAGTGTGTGTGTGTGTGTGTGTGTGTGTGTGTGTGTGTGGCCTGGAGGACAGAGGACAGGAGAACACGCAGCTAATCAATTAAATAATTTGGTTCTGTACCTTTCTCTTCAGCACAGCCGACAAAGGTTTATGATGTGTCTGCATGCATGCTCAGATCATTCCCTTCCCTTGCTTGAAAAATTGTTCCAAAATGAAAGTTGAACCCACATCTTTTTTATCCGGGAATTCAATGCCTGTCAGCGAGTCTCAAATAAAAATGTGGGCATCTTATTGCCGTAAAAAAATCATCATTATTGTAAAAAAGAAACTCCAAATAACAAACTTTATTCACACCTAGAATCGAGCCTAGGTCTCCTACATGAGAGTCAGACATCTTACTAAGTGAGCTAAAGCACCAGTGACGTTCTTTGTATCTGTAACATTTATATCCTTGATGACAGCTGAAACAATGTCAATCTAAAGAATGGTTCAGAGCAAAAATGGCTATTTTGTTGCTAATTTGCAGGAAATATCTAGAAGAAAGTAGCTAAGGGTCCTCAGAAATGTAGCTAGGTTCGTCACTAGGCGTTAGGAACAGCGACAAAGTCGCTAAGTTGACACTACCTCACCCTCTACTGCTAAAGCTACAGATAGCAAATGCTACGGGCTATGCCTGAGCGTGAACGCGCATGAAGCAGCCTGCTCGACCCGAGCATATCTCTTTTTCTGCAATTTTACAGAAAAACAGGCAATCACAGTAAAATGCCAGGGCTCATTCTACAGGACCAGGGCATTGCAGGAGAATGTAAGAAGAAGAAATTTATTATTTCTATACATGTTTTGGCTGCCAAACTTCCATATAGTCCCTTTAACTAGTAAAAAACATGCGTCATTTCCTGTGAAACCTCAGAAGGCAAGGTAAACAGAACAGAAAATAAACCACATACCTTTTTGTATGCATGCAGCCACGTGAACTTCAAAAATCAAGCGAGGTGTTGCAATTCTCCCATGATTTCATGACCACACAATACCATCTGCATGGGATGCTTCACATTTGAAACACTCCTGGTTAAAAGGTAGCTCATGGGTGAAACACATTTATTACAATATGCACTGCCTATGTCCAGTGAAAAGGCCAACAGATTTCAAAACAATCAATAAATTTTAACAAGTCATGTGAATTATAACCATGACACGAATGTCTAAATGCTGTAAAGCAAAGCATTTAACTCATTTATCAGATGACTAAATTTCTATAACTAATCAATAATACCTGTATGTAATCATTTGACAGTATTACTATGAAGTAACAGTTTTTATATGATTTTTTTTTCTTTCATTGTTGATCTCAGGCACCAGAAAAATCTAAATGAAACGTAGCTGCTGATACCTGTTATCACTTTGTCTGCATTGTACTGTTGACAGATACTGCATTCCCAATGCGGTGGAGGATACCACTAATGACCGGGTGTTGAGGCTGAATCTCAATGCTCACCCGCTGAGTTACATCAATGATCAGGACATGGGGACCACCTGGCAGTCTAAGATCATGACTGCACAAGAACTGGATGAAGGACTCACAGTTACTGTGGATTTGGTTAATGGACAATACCAGGTGATCCCACATATATGTGCATGTATATGAACAGACACTGATCATTGTACAATATGCACTCTCATGTCTGACGATGTAGTGTTTGACAACAGCGTCTTCTACATTACAACAAAATGGTTCGAATTTTGTACAATACAAATACTTACCTGCTTTCAACATCCCATCCTTGACTTTGACCTTTATAGTATTTAGTAATTGTTTAGTTTAGATGTTTTTCAGTCTCCACAAGTTTGTTATACAGAATGATGATGTTTTCATCATTCAAGATTCAGATAAGGGATGAACAGATCTTCTAGTGCAACAGCCTTTACAATTCTTAGATGTAAACAGCAGTTTACTGTGGTCTGTTGTTCTGCTGTGTTTGGTTAAAATGCCACCGCTGAATGCATCTCTTGGATTTGTTAATGCAAGGAAACGCTTATTCTGAACACTTCAGGGTTAAACACACTGAAAAAGGCTGGGGTGGATGTTTGGGAATGGGGCAGTGAGTGAGTGAGTGAGTGAGTGAGTGAGTGAGTGAGTGAGTGAGTGAGTGAGTGAGTGAGTGAGAGAGTGAGAGAGTGAGAGAGTGAGTGAGTGAGTGAGTGAGTGAGTGAGTGAGTGAGTGAGTGATGTCATGACTGGTGCTGCTGAGAGACACTGATGTGTGTACCGCATGTGAGTGCAGGCAGGATTTTGGGAGCTGTCCTGTGTGGTTGCTCAACTTAAGTCCCCAGATGAAAGACACTTTCTGAAGTTTGGGGTGTTTGTATGTGAGTAGATTTGTGCGGTCTTGGTGGCTTAATGCACTCCCTGCTGTGCTTCCCCAAGTCCCAGCCCACTGGAGTGCCAGATAACACTTGCAGCACACACACCTACACACAAACAAGCATGAGGTTTATGTGTGATAGGATGCTACTTCTGTGTGTTACTTTGGATATACGAATAGGTACACTTAACAGCCACATTGTTGGGAACATCTTGCTAGTATCTGGTTAGACCCTCTTTTGCCTTCACAGCTGCCTTAATTCTTTCAAGCAGAGACTGGAAACATCAGGTGTTTTGGCTCATATTGACATGATCACCCGAGTTCTGCAGATTTGTCAGATGCACATTCTTGATTTGAAAGTCCCGTTGCACAACCTCCCAAAGGATCTGGATTGGAGTGAGCTCCTGTGACTGTAGAGGCTGTTGGAGTGGACTCATGTTCTTGTTTTAGGAACCAGTTAGAGATGATCTGAACTTTGCCACATGATGCATTATCCTGCTGGGATTTGTCAGAAGAGGGGTCCACTGTGGCCATAAAGGGATAGACATGGTCAACAACAACCCTTTGGTGAGCTTTTGTGTTAAAATCAAGCTCATTTGCTTCTAATAGATCTAACATGCCAGGAAAATATTCCCTATTCCATTACACTGCCAGCAGCAGCTGCCTGAACTGGTGACACAAGACAGGACAGAGCCATGTTTTCATGTTGGTGACACCAAATTCTGACCCGACCTTCTGAATGTTGCAGGGGAAATCCAAAGTAACATTATCATTTGGTTCTGGTGATCCTGTGTGAATTGTGTAAAACTATTTCATTAACATTATCTTGTGAATTTGTCTTTCAGGTTTTCTACATTATAGTTCAGTTTGGGGGTCTTCTGCCTGAGTCGGTTGTGATCCAGCGAAGGGCGTTTAACCTCTCAGACCCTGACAGCGCCATTAAGACCGAACAGCTCTGGTTGGACTGGCAGTATATGGCCAGAAACTGCAGTGTGTTTGATATGCAGAACAATGGATGGTTACCTAGACCAGACTCAGTCAACTGTCTGCAGTTGCCCAGGTTGGAATGAATGTCCTGACTAGTTCTTTGTTTTGTGATATTAAACTTAACTGATTTGCTCACTCTTTAAAATCACATATAGCTTCTAATGAAACCAATCTGCATGTTACTTAATCTGATTAGCTAAATAGTCAACATTATTATGTTAAAATACTTCAATGGTCTAACTTACTTAAGAAGAATTAGTTTTTTAAATTCTGGAGTCGAATTTGAAATAATTTATTATTTTCAGATCAATGGTCTAGTGAATAATCAAATTCTTTCATGCCATTTCTTCTCAAATAATTATTAAAACATATGTTCTTATGGTGACTGCTTTTACTCAGATAGAAAATTACTGACATGACTAGATAAAACGCAAATGAACACAAGTCCAAAGTAATCAAACAAAACCAGATTCACCCAGCTCAATAAAAAGTGACACATGTGGACAAACGTATAAAGCAGCTCCCTCACAGTATCGATGTTATTAAAACTAACCATCTCCTGCGTTACCTTGTCACATGACCGACAGCAGGCTCCGACTTGGCACAGAGCAAACTGGATTTGAAACACACACACACACATACACACACACACACACACACACACACACACACACACACACACACACACACACACACACACTAATTCTTGGCAGAGCTGCTTGTATCCAGTGCTCAGTTGGCACTGGTTAGAACAGGTATGAATAGATCACAGATTATGCAGTCATTGTTAATTTTTCACTTGACTGACAAATGATATCACACACAACCTCTCCTGGCACCATTCATAATGGTATAAGAGCAACTTACCCTCATATTACAGTAACACTCTTAGTGCTTGGTAATTACATTCACCTTTAAATTAGCTTAACCGTTTATAGGGCACTCATTGAAGTAGTGTTATTGTGGTGTATAGTGGGACAGCAGCTCAGGAGGTAGAGCGGGTTGTCCAGTAATCGGGAGGTTGCAGGTTCGATCCCAGCTCCGACCAGATAATGCTGTTGTTGTGTCCTTGGGCAAGACTCTTAACCCGCCTTGCCTGCTGGTGGTGGTCAGAGGGACCGGTGGCGCCAGTGCTCGGCAGCCTCGCCTGTCAGTGCGCCCCAGGGCAGCTGTGGCTACATCGTAGCTCTTCACCACCAGGTTGTGAATATGTGTGTGAATGGGTGAGTGACTGTATTGTAAAATATAGGTCATTTACCAAACACCTAAAGTCTATTTCTGTTATTACAATTTTCTAAACAATTTATTTTCATGCAGAAAATCATAGAAAACAAATTCATCAAAAAGGGACGTTGGCCCTGTTCTGGTACAGGAAATCCCAAAACAAAATAACATGAACAAGTTAAATAAACATTATTTTTAAATAACAGTAAATTTAAGACACTTTAGAATAATCTAACTAATTTTAAAACATTAAATCACTAGAATAATACAAAATATCAACATTGTTAAAGAATAAGGTGTATTTTTTATAAAAACAGATTACTGTAGAATATTTCTGAAAGGTATTTTAGAATACCATATATCTGAGGATCAGCATGTGTCATTTTCCTCCTCTTCATCATCTCTGATGACAGGATTGGTTGGCACAATACCTGTCCTCCATTTCACATAGAAATCTTAATTTAAAACAGCTAAATATATTCAATATTGCTGTTATTGTTACTGTTACCATGAATTTTAAGATTATGCCTAAAACATAACCGATTTCATCTAAAAAAATATACATCATTTCAGATATGGTAGGTTTGAATGGCATGCAATAATTCCACCAATTTCATTGAGTTTAACATTTACAACACATGTATCTTTATTTAGCACAACTAGTCAACTTTGTGATGAGAGAGATTCATAAACCTAGCAATGTTAGTTTTACGGATCTGACCGTGAACACGGGAGGAGACAGAGCATTTCTCTGGTTCTGCAGACGCGTTACAGCCCTGCACTGATTGGTTGAATGGTGCCATGGCACAAACTGTAACTAGCTTGATCTGATGATTGGTCGGGTGAAATCCTGTAATTCTAGAAGTCTGTGAAAGGATCATTTATGATGTGAGTGGTAGTGTCTAAATATAGATAGGGTTAATTTATCTTTAGCTAACCAAACATATTTAATTTAACTAAAAATGTATAGGACAAGTGAAGGACAAATAAGAAATTACAGCAGGTTATCAGTAAGACAATACCAGTAAATACTAAATACAGGAGATGAAAATGAGCCATCATGCTGTTGGTCATTGATCATATGTCACGTTTTCAGCTCTTTGATTATTAAGTCTTACCATGGACAATTTTCAGAGATCTTGCAAAATATTGGAAATGAGTTGTCCTTGTTACTGACTTCACGTAAGAAAGGGCCTAAAGATCTAATTTAAAATCAGTTTTTGCTAAGTTGTTAACATTAAACTGGTTCATCTCTTGAGTTTAGAAGCCTTTTTATGAATTTTTATGAATTGGAGGTTAAGTGTCATAACAGATAAATGAGAAATATTTTTGCTGAAAAAGATCTGAAAGGAAAAAAGAAATTTGAAATCACTTTAAAACCCAATACATGCCTCATCAGCCAATTGGTAGAGCATATCTTAAGTCTCCATGTCTCAATAAAACATTATATGAACTTAAGAAAAATATGTATAAAAATTTTCCAAAGAAAATGGAGTTGTTAGAAAAAAAAGGCAGAACATTAATACTTAGCATTGTCATTGCCTTAATATAATTACAACTATGTATTTATTAGTTTTTAATTTACATTAATCTAAAGCCCCTATTGCCCAAAATCAAAAGGGGAATTTTATTGGGTTTTTTTTGTTTTGTTTTTTTCTTGGTGAGGAAGTTAAAGGGTTAATACAGTACTGTGCTAAGGTCTGGTGTGACAAATTGCTGTAACAAAGAATGCTTTCAAAATTGGAAGTGTTAATCATTTATTTTTATCAATCAACAAAAGCCAGAGAACTAACCACAGCTCTTCTTAGGATGCAGGCTTCCTCACATCCTTCTGTGTCTTCAAGTAATCCCAGACACACTCCATGATGTCCAGATCAGGACTCTGTGGGGGCCAGACCGTCATTTCCAGGATTTCCTGTTCTTCTTTATGCTGAAGATGGTTCTTAATGACTTTGGTTGTTTGTTTGGAGTCACTCATTTTTCTTTTTAAAAATTGGTAAAATATATATATATATATATATATATATATATATATATATATATATATATATATATATATATATATATATTAAAAAAAATAAAAAATCAATAATCATTGTTTATTTTTCTGAAAGAAGGTTCAGAGCTTTTTTTCACACCTGCCTAAAACTTTTGCACAGTACTGTATCTAAATTAGGTCAGGCTGCTTGGAAGTAAAATAAAATAAACTATGAATGACAAAATGTCTTTGCTGCATATATATTTTTAATTTTATTTTATTATGTCCATTTTCCAGTGACGTGCCCTTCTCAGGAGGAAACTTCACATTCAGTCTGCTGACCACACATCCAAGCGTGAGGCCGGGGTATAATGACTTCTACAGAACGCCTGCCCTGCAGGAGATGGTCCAAGCAACCCACGTCCGAATTCACATGAGAGGACAGTACCACACTAAAACAGCTGGGGTCAATCCACAGCACAGACACTTTGCCATTAGAGAGATCACAATCAGTGGCAGGTAAAAACTTCTTTCTTTTGACACATTTACTGTAGAGTGGTTATTTAATAAAGTTTTAAGAGTCTGTGTTCCGTAAACACGAGGAACACCAACCCTAAACACCTCAAACAAAGTGGAACGAGGTACTTGCTGTTTTGGTTGATTAACATCACGCGGAGTCCAGGTGTAACTGGCTTATTTCTAAGAGGAGTCTTCATAATTAGCCCACCAGACACTCGTGTATGTTGGCAAACTTGTTGTACGTGGCATCGTTTGCTGAAAGAGAGATCGGAGGATCTTTTCAGCAGTCATTTGTGTAAAATTAGTGAACACAGTTCAAGAAAGATTATTTCACACAGACTGTTGAGTTTCAGCAGAGCTTTCTGAGTAATTGTGAACACATCTTTTCATTAGACTGACAATGTGACTGACATAGTGACTGTCTTTTATGAGTGAGGTAATTATAGGATTATGCAGGAGGCAATCATCTCTTTCTCCGCTTCCCCCTCCTCCTAAGCTGTTTTAATTAGTGGCTTGTTACAGTGAAGAAGGAGAAACTGAGGTTTAATGCTGCCGAAGCCTCATCTGTGCGATCTTCGTTCATCCATGTCGCCCCGACTCTTTTATTCTTGATCCTTTTTTTTCTTGATTCTTTATGAAGCATGTAAACCCATGTGAGGAAGAGGAAGAATGTGTTTGTTCTTACAGGAACTTTATCCATTCTGTGTTTCTTTAAAACTTTCACACGTATAGTTTTGTTTTGTTTCTCAATGAGGAGTATTTCAGTCTAACATTAGAGTCTGCCCAGTGCAAAATCTGACAAAACTGCAAATGGTCCCTGTCTTATATGAAACTGTCCTTTAAGGCTCACAGGTAAATTAGATGGTTGGAGAGCAATAAAACTGGAAGGAAACATCCTTGACCTATAGTAAAAGTTTTAAACTGACCTCTTATCACAGATTTTGCATCAGTGTTTCCTTTTTTCATTTCTCTTTAATCAGATGAATGAAACTGCTTACTTAATTAAAAATAAAGTATTTTAAAGTGACGGCGTGTAGTTTCCTGGTGATGGGGGGGACAGTAAATACCTAAATCATTGCAAGCAAGTGTTATCTTTGCTTGAGTGACTACCATAAAAGCCAAAAATCCATGGGATTGTCGTAGTGCTATTTCTTTTTTAATATTTATTTATTTTTATTTTTTTATGAATGAAAAGTGTTGTTAGATGGAATATCCTCAATGGCAAAAAAAATACTAATTTCAGGGCAGTTTAACACCAGCTTAGTTTAAAAAAAATCATTGCAGTAAATGTTGTTACCTGTGGAGCAGAAAGCATGCGACCTCGGCGTGACTCCTCAGGCTTTGATGGTCCTTCAGATAATTCCATCGAGAGAATGCAATTCGGATGCTTTTCTGGTGGCGTAGTTCCCAGATCTGCATGGTGTCCTGCACCTGCCGATGATGTCAAACTAGGGCAATACCACTCGACTAAAATATATTGCATCTCTTTTTTGATTCTGTTCTTTCACAAGATCATGATAAATGACCCGCTCTTGTATAGCGCCTTTGAGAGTCAGAGGACTCCGAAGCACTATACACTACAATGTATTATTCATCCATTCACACACACATTCACACGCTGGTTGTGATGAGCTACATTGTAGCCACAGCTGCCCTGGGGCGCACTGACAGAGGCGAGGCTGCCAAGCACTGGTGCCACTGGTCCCTCCGACCACTACCAGCAAGCAAGATGCTTTAAGTGTCTTTCCCAAGGACATAACAACAGAATTCTCTGTCCGGAGCCAGGATCGAACTTCCAACCTTCCGATTACTTGACAACCCGCTCAACCTCCTAGGCTACTGCTGCCCAAAACACATAGGTTTTGGAAAGAGTTTAGCAGTTTTGTTATTAAATTCATGTTTCATTCTGCCTAAATGCTTTTATCTTACATTTCCTTTGACAGGATGAACATATTTGACTAAACATAACAGAGGACTACAACTGCAAAGACTACAACTGCAAATGCTAATTTGTCTGGACCAGTCAAAACCTTCTGTATCAGTGTACTAACATAAATGTTACGAATGTGATAAAGTAACTTCCATAAGTCGTACATTCAGCCAGTCTTCTAGTAGGATGTCATCGGCAGGTGCAGGACCCCGGGCCAACTCACAGAGAAGGAAACATTGGGTCTAATATGGTGTCACTCCATGTATTTATACCTGATTTTTATGGGTATATGTTATGAAGCCACCAATATTGTCCAACAACTGGACTTCATTTTACACATTTTCAACATTCAGATGGATATTTCCAGAGAATAATGGCAACAACTACACATTGTCATTTTAAATAAAGTTTTTAGCTAACCTCTAACTAAAAAAGCTCAAAGAACACGTGTGTGCGGCTATGTTATCTTACTACATCTAATTGTAGCATTTCTTACATTGAATTGTACTTCCCAGTGGTGTAAATGTAGTTCCCAAAATGAGGAATGTCACACAGAAACTTTGAGGAAGGAAGATTATATCTTTAGTTAGTTTTCATTTCTCAGGTAAGAAAAAGAAGGAACAATAAAATGTTAAGAATGCTGTATCATGTGTGCCCAGTGTTTCCCAGCAGCCCTTAACCCACTGGTTTCCTGTCTCCTCCCACCTGAACAGATGTGATTGTCACGGCCATGCAGACCACTGTGACACCAGTGTGTCCCCGTACCGCTGCCTATGCCTCCCAGAGAGCCACACCACAGGCCACAATGTGAGTAGGAAACGCATACAACTTACTGTGTAAAAAAAGGTTTTTCTTCACAAGTTTGTATCTAAATTCAATGTCATTATTTATTTTTCACAGGCTAATTCTTTCTGGTTTTAAAACCACACACACACAGTGCATAACATTACAGCTAGCAAACGGAGCACACTCACACATAAGCACATGCACACAAAGGAATCCCCTAGAGCTAAATATCCTTCTGGTCTTAATTAAGGTATTTATATAGACCTAATTAATTAAAAACAACTAAACAACTATTCTTCCACACAAGTTACAGCCATACACAGGCAACTCTTCCAAATGTATTTATGTATATAAATGTAGGTTTATTTTATTTTATTTTATTTTATTTAAGCACCTTGCAATTTTTATCTTGAAACAACTTTTTCTCATTCTTGGTGCTTTTTGGAAGTTGTTTTCAGCCATCTTACATTTGATCTCAAAGATTTATTTAGCTGAACTTGACATCCATCCATTGTTTTGGGATTGAGACACTGGAAAACACTCCTCTTTAAACTGTGTAGACAAAGTTATTATTATTGTCAACTTTGTGCGGAAAACCTGAATAATTTGTGCTTGTTCAGCTTTAAAACCCCTTTGGATCATCTGTATGGGGCTCTAGGATCAGAGGATTGTTTTTTTTTTTCATGAGCTCAATCATCTTGACTTGCTACGGGAAGGCTGTTGTTCTTTTAGCATCCAGCAAGTAACAGAGAACATCTCAACTAGTAGAAACAAACTGTTAGCATTGGCAACTTCACCACACAGCAGCACTCCTCCAGGCTTGTGTTATTTGTGGAGATAAATCATCAGTGCTGCAGAAGAAAAAGAGTCAGTGATAGAGTCATGTTGTTAGCCAATCAGCGGAGAGATTTTCAAAAATCAGGAAATAAGAGTCCAAATCCTGCCGTCTGAAGCTACTTTTACCTCTTATTGACTTTTACTTCCTGATTTAGACACATCTGAGCTTTTTGTTTCCCAGAGTACAACTTACAAGGCATTCAAGGTGACAACAACAAGGAGGTGCACTCAAGGTGACAGATTATTTGCTGCTGTGGCCCCCAGACTCTGGGACCTCTCCCCCTGAGCCTGAGATCAGTGGACTCAGTGGTCTCCTTTAAAAAGCAGCTGAAAACTCACCTGTCCAAGCTTGCTTTGGTGTGGCCTTCATCACCCTCTCCTTGTTCTGCTCTCCCTACCTATTCCACCTTCCTCAGGATCCACTGATTTCCCCCTTTCCTATTCACTCTCTCTCTTTCTCTACGTTTTTTTCACAATTGTCTAATTTTTGCTCATTTTAAATATATTTTTAATCATTTTCTAAATTCTTTTTAATATTTTTGCATTTTTTGTTTTGTGAAGCGCCTCGTGATTTTTATCTTGAGAAGCGCTATAGAAATTGTATTTTCTTCTTCTTCTTCTTCATTCCTACTAGGGCCCCTGAAAATGTGTTGATTAAACAAGTCTTTAACACCTTTAAAAAATTCTAAATGCTTGAATTTGACCATCTGATCCTGTCCCTACAATGATCAAATAGTGAATTCCCTTGAAAACCAATCTAATATTTTAAAGTTTGAAGGATGTGGCCATTTTTTTTTCAGTGTCTAATTGTAAAAAGTTGTATACTCCTTTAATGACAGACATCCCACTGCTGCCACCATTTGTTGTGATAGAAGTAGAACGGGAGACCTGAAGACCCAGCTTGTTAATTATTGTGAATGTATTTTTAAAGACTATGGCCTAGTCCACACGTAGCCGTTTTTTTTAAATGAATATCCGCCCCTCCAAAAACTTGCATCCACACCACTGCGTTTAAAAAAAAAACTCTGTCCACACGTACCCGGATAAATACGTTGTTAAGGACATGCCAGACCTGTAGGCGGCAGTACTTCCCCTGTTCTTAACCTCGTTCTTCGTCTGTGGTCTTCCGCAAGGAGCAGTAATTCCGCTTGCAAAAACAAACAAGCAACAAGCGCTTGGACAATTGATGGATCGGGTAGTGACAGAGCGCAGCTCTGAGGGCTTCCATGATGTCGGCTAGTGTAAACACAGGTCGCACACGTGATGTCAGCATTTTTTTGTCACGGAAAGTGACGTTGCGGACCTTAAAACTCCGGTTTTGTCCGTCCACACGCAGACACCCAAAACGGAGAAAACGCAGATCTTCACTTTGGTCGGAGTTTTTAAAAAGATCCGTTTTCGTGTGGATGACAGGCCAAAACGTAGAAAAATATCTACGTTTTGGCAGATCCCCGGCTACGTGTGGACAGGGCCTAAGTTAAGCAGATTCATCTTCTGGGATGGTGAAAGAAAACTCTTCTGGTCTGTTCTTCAGTTGATCAAGATTATTGATACTTTACCACGACCATTTCTGCACACAGGATGTTTTAGGGGTTTGTAATGTTTTTGAGTTAACTTATTATTTTTAGAATTAATACTAAAGCCTGATTCATGCTTCTCCGTCAGCTCTGCAAGGGACAAACACGCACGGATTGACGGAAGCGTTTTGCTCTCATGCTTCTCCGTCTCCTGGAGTGTTGCAAAGCAATTCCCCGGCAGGACAACAGAGGGCGTAGCGCTGTTCTGTGGTATCCTGTCATGTATCGGTCCAAGATAGTGTGTTTATATTGTGTTTTTTGTATATAAGAGACTTTTTAACACAGACAAATTTGTCTCTCATCCTCCTCTACCTCTTCATGCGCTCGCCACCTCTAAACCCACGTTTCCTGTCATTTATGTCCACAAATAAAATGCTTGCTGCGTATCTTTTCACTCCTCCAGTCACAGGGGAAGTAAACGTTCAAATTTTTAGAGTTTTTTCGTGAGGTTTTCTTCAACCTGCTCCGTGTCTGCCGCTAGTTATCCTCGGCTCTGTTTATGTTTTTGAGGGCGTAATGGCAGCGGTGTAGACGACAGCGGCGTCCTGACCAATCACAAGCTTGCGTTGTCCGTCTCGACTGACGGATGTTTAGAAAAGAGAGCTCGACTCCGTCCGTCCTTCCGGAGCTCTCTGGCAGGCCCGCAAGGACGTTGCGTGTCTCCGCACGGACGCAGACGGAGAAGCATGAATCAGGCTTCAGGATTTACGCACTTCTGCTGTTTGCTACAGAATGACCCTTTTGATCCAAATTACCTTTTGAGTTGACAGTTGCATAATAAAAATTTCATAGACCATGTCAGGTAATAGTAGGCATCACCTCAACAAAAGCATTCACTTGGTCAGCGGTGAAATATTCAGTTACGTCTGCCTCAACTTACTGTCGCACAGGATAGCCTACATTATTTATCACTTATATATCATTCATACACCAGTGTCTGTGCATTAGTGTGCACGTTCGTGTTTTATGAAGGACCTAGTGAGCATCTGTCTGTACAGTTTACTACAAGCAGAAGTTTGTTTACTTTAACTTTTATGAATGCCAGACTAAAATGAAATAACAGACAGACTCCATATTAATGAAAACATCTGATTTTCTCTATTTTCTCTTTTTAAACAGTAGTTTTATCTTTCTCTAGCTCCCTGTGCCACATTTATATTTATCCTCTTTGTTGATCCCTATCTGTCTCTCACACTCCTGTCTGTCTCATGAGCCTCTTTTAAAAATGTCTCAAATTGACTAGAACAATGACATTCCCTCAGCATGCATTTCTAATCAACTATTTCTTTTTCTGTTTGTCTTTTGCTTCATTTCCCCTCACTTTTCTATATTCCCCATCCCCCACCACTCCCTTTTACCCGTACATCCCAAGTATTAAATTCCTTATTGTTTAAGTTTTTTTCATGTTTCATTCTCTCCCTTTGTTTTATTATTTCAGATTGATCCCTCCACTCTGGATTTTACACAGATTAGTTCTCACGTTGGAAGATGTTATGAATGTGCTCAAACAAATATGTGCACTTGTCTCCCAGAGTCCTTTTCAGTGACTGTGTTTGTGCACTTTTCTTCCGAACCTGTCCACGCCGTCTCTCCGAGTGAATATTCAGAACCTTTCTTCTGTCCCTGTAATACTGGCGCATAAAAGGCTGTGGGGAGTATTAGCGTTTAATATTGCATGCGTTCTGTTGACTCGGATCGGCCTAGCTCTGTGACGGATGTTGTACTAATCTTTAGAATTTCCACAGTGACATTAAAGTGACAGAAATGCTCAGACATGTGTCAAAATGATCAACAAGGGCCTTAGAAGACACATACTTAAACTCTCTCTCACACACACACACAAATGTGTGCAAACACACTCTCTCCCACTTCTTCTTTCCTTTGATTCTGTTTCATGTGCACTCTGTGTCAGACTAGATCTCTCATTGTGTCACTCCGTCGCTACGTCTCTCACTATTCAATAGATTCCATCACATCTCAAAGCTATATAGTATAATGTATTGTACCATTTATTTTCATTCACATTAAAGATTTTAGTTGCTTTGAAACTGAGTTTTAGATTAAATGTTGTGCAATGTCCCTGAATAGGAGTGAAAAACAACTAAGTTGTGCAAACTTTTCCAAACATCCCTTCCTCTGAGCACATTAAAGATGTGTAAGAGTTGCATCACACTTTATTGGAGACTAACCAAAAATGATAGAAACGTCTCTGGGTGTATTTGTACCTTGCAAGAGCAAAGAAGAATGTTCTTAGCTCTGTCAACGGCAACATTTTCACTCACTGATGTTTGATTTTGATTGTGACAGGGTGAAACACTCCCTCTGGGTTGGGAAGGAGTCTTAGCCTCAAGCATCTTGGTGATTTGTTTGCAGCAATGGCAGGAAAAAGTTGGTAATGGACCAATCAGGGCATTTGTTGTGGCAAAGACAAAAGTAGATGGTCTCATTTCATTAGTTTGTCTGTTTCAACTCTCACCCAAAGAAATAAACATAATCCTTAAGTAGTTGGATTGTAATGTATTTTCAAGATTTAGAGAGAACCTGCTTGAAACTGTAACTTAAATGCAGCAAAGCACAATAAGCCTCACATTTTAAATCTTTATTCTT